TGTTTTGTTAAATTTGGAGTGATGCACTAAATGAGTTGATTGGATTAAATTGAATAGCAGTGATGCACCGAGTGAATAGCAGTGATACACCGAGTGAATAGTAGTGATGCACTGAGTGAACTTAGATTAATTAAATGATTTAGTAGTGGTGATAATGAAATTTTTATTAACCAATATAAGACTCACACATCATTGATTCATACTTCATTTTTATTATATAAAAATAATTTTTTTATATAAAGTATTTTATGTATACACTTCACCAGAATAAAGAAGTGTACCACTGCAAAGGAAATATGGGACACCCTTATCCATATAGGTGCAGGTGATGAGCAGGAGAAAGACAACAAGCTCATAATAGCAACGAAGAAGTTTGAAGATTTCAAGCTTCTACCCAATGAATGCATAGCAGAAATGCATGCACGTCTGCTCAAGCTCACTGCAGAAATTTCTGAGCTCGGAAAGGAACTCACTCCCAAAGAGATCAATCTGAAAGTCTTGAGAGGCCTTCCTTCACCCTGGAAGATGAAGGTCACAACTATGAGAGATAGCAAAGACTCAGAACCTACACAACATAAAATCTCTTCTCAGATCTCAAGTCTAATGAGTTTGAGGTGAAGGAAGAGAAAGAAGAAGAACCAGAAGAGAGGACAACTGCTACTTTGACTGCCAATCTCTCTAAGATAAATGATTTTGACCCTTCAATTTTATTATCTAACAAATATATGGCTGATTTTGCCAAAAAGTTCAGGAAATTCATGAAGAGACCAAAGGATAACACAAGTCCATCCTCAAGCAGAAGGCCATTCCAGAATCCAAGGTCCTCTGATAGTAATGGAGAACTTCTGTGTTACAACTTTCATCCGCCTGGATACTTCAAAGTCAACTGCCCCCATCCAATAGTGTTCAAAAGGCAAGGACAGGAAAGTGACAAGAAGCATGATCATAGTGTGAGAAGAAGAAAGGCACTACAAACCGAGCAACCAGAGAAGGACCCTCTAACAGAAACGGAATCTAGTTAGTCCACCCGTGCGCTGCACGGGAGTGAGACACCCACATAATAATTTAGATATAGTTATATATTTAAAAATACTAGTTTTTTCACCCGTGCGTTGCACGAGATGAAAAGTTATTATATTTTATTTGATAGTACTTTAATTATCTTTCTAAAGACTCCATAACATTTGCCTTTGAGTTTGAATTAAAAGGCTATGATTTTTAATTAAGATACAATTTAACATTGCAAATTGATAAGAGCTCTTTATACACAACATTGAATGTGTCGATTGTCGCTCTACGTTTATTGTCATATCTCAAAAAAATTATACCAGTTGGACTTTTGACTCTAGACACAACGACGAAAAGTTGTCAATGCGTGAAAACCGATCGTCGTAAAATATCCCCACATTTTCAATGACTGATCATGACTCCTATTGATCGTCATCACATAGCTAACCAGCAAAGGAAATTGCTCATACTAGAAGTTAACATGCAATCGGCCCTGACAACTTTTGGGCCTCGTTTGCCGAGTCGTGTCACTAATAGCCGAGTACTATTGCACAAACCGAATGATTGATCTACAAACTCCAGAAAATAAGATTCCACTTACAAATTCTAGAGAGTGGATGTCTTGTAATAAACTACTATTAAAGTCAGATAGTGATGTTGAATCAAAGCTGAAATATGTTGTCATATTTGATGATATTGGTGCGAGCAAGTAATAATTAATCTTTTCCACCTCATCAATTGTTAGTGCAAGTATTACTCGTGACATGAAATAAGAGACAATGTATATTTTCAAGCATCCATAAGCACTCCTAAGTTTCACTTAAGAGAAACTTAGGAGCCCCTATTTAGCAATTAGCACCCACAAAATGGCACGAGCCATATAGTGAATCTGCAAGAGTTCTGTCATTTTTAGTTCTTCAACTATTATGTCACTGACGTTATTGATACTCGACTTTGTTATTTTTCACTTTTAGTCTTTAGACTATTGCTTAAAAGACACTTTTGGTACTCGACTTTGAGTTTTTTCACTTTTAGTCTTCAAACTATTACTTGAAAAACACCTTTGGTATCCGTCTTTGAAAATTTCTATATTTAATCTTTTGACTTTCATTAAAGTAACACTTTTGATCGTTCAACCATAACTCAATTTTTAAAGACAGTTGGACTATAATTTTGGAACTTGCTATGTAAATATGTCCGTATAATATTATCTCCACAACAAACTATGCAACCTAAAGAATGTCATTGATTACTCATTTAAATTAGAATATACATAGTCTCTTGATTAAAAATGGAGATCAACTTAAAAAGTGCAGAAATAAGGTTTGGATCATTACACAAATAATTTAAGAGAAAAGAAAAATATTTTCCATTAACTTATTATTCTTGTAAAGCACCAAACAGAAGAGAGAGAAAATAAAGATTAATACAAACAAAGAAGTAAAAACTACTTTCATATGGTGTTGGTGTAAACCAACATTTGCAAATAGCATATGACCTAAAATCAAATCAAAGATAAATGAGATCAAAGGTCTCAAATGAATTGAAATGGAAATAATGCTCATATGCAGTCATATTTGGACTAAAATAAAAATTAAAGAATCACCATATTCTTCATACATATGACTCTTTCTCATACATGGGTTTAAATGAGCACTGCTCAGCTTAAAACACAATTATGAGAACAAAGAAATTAAACTACAAATACCTCATATCTATAATTAAATGAATACTTCTCACCTATGAAAACAATGAACTACAATGAGTTTTTGTTGTAGGCTATGTCTCTCCATGAATCTTAGGGAAGACTTCTCCGCTTGTGATGAATATGAATTACAATGAGTTTCTAGCGCAGACTATGTCAGTGTGAAGCTTAGGGAAGACTACTACAATTCTGATGTATAAAATGAATCAGTTTCTACTGACTATATATGCCTGCACGAATCTTGGGGAAGACTTCTAACCTTGCAATTTATATGAGACTTGCAAATGGTTTCCAACTTGTTGAAAAAATCAGGATCATTAGTACTATGTCAACTCTATCTGCTGCATGTATTGTCCAATAAGATACCCAAATTTGTTCATAGCTACCAATCAAACTATATGGAAGCTATTATGCACTCTTTGGTGTGTAAATCATTAAATTCCTGGATAAGTGAAGAAAACAACTAAATAAGAAATGAAACTAAAAATATAGTTTTTAAAATGGATAAAATAAAACTCAAGAACACTCCATAAATGAGGGAAGTGAAAGTTGATAAAATAAAAGAGAAGAGAAAAAATGTTTGGTATTATTCATAAAAACTAAAAATAATACCAAACATTTTTTCTGAAAAGTTAAAACTAAACTGTCACTCCCTCAGATTTTTGAAATGGATAAAATAATACTCAAGAACACTCCGTAAAATATTAAATATTGGAAAAAAAATATTAAAATAGATAAAATAAAACTCAAGGATACATTTTTCTGGTATCAAAATCAGTTTCAAGTATTATTCATAAAATCCTGGATAAGTGAACAAAACCAAATCATCTTACAAAAAAGAAGAGAAAAAATGTTGTTAAACTTATCTTTTTATCCGCTGGAATTCCATTAGCTGAAACTCTTGTTTTTATTTATGAACTAACTAACGAATCAATATTCATAAGGTATGATCATGAGGAATAATTTTAGTGATCTAATATTATAAGTAAACGTAGAAATGTATGTTAAGGTTTATTTGATTATACCAACCGAAGCTAAATACATGTTTTGTACCTTAGAAGAAGTGGAAAAGAGTTGCACTATATAAGCTTCGCTAAATCATGGGACAAAGTTATTTTTTTAACCAAACGTTTACAAAATTTTATTAAATGTATATTTCAGAATTTGTAATGCATGATCTTAGTAATTTTTTTTAGTTATGTCAACCAATACTAACACATTGCATTTCTGGATTCAAGAAAGAAGATTAAGAAAACAAAACCAAAAAAATCTAACTGAGTAATTGTTCACTTTCAACTTTTAACTCATTAGAATTGATTCCGTTCCAATAAACAGAGTAGTTTTTAAAATGGCTAAAAACAAAAGTTCGGAAAACTCCATAAGTGGGAAAGAAGAATTAGTAAAGGAAGGAGGTAACAGAGCTTTACCTCACTTCTGTTTTTTACCATATGAACTCCAACGCTCAATTGCATATGGTGATATAATAATAGCAATAAGCAGGGACAGACCTGATGTCATAATACCAGAGGCTGACGTAATAGAAATACTAATAAGTCAGATGCCATTTGATATAGAACTTTGTATTGCTTCATCACAAATGTTGAAGGGAAAAGGAAAATCAATGTTGCAGGAGCCATATGAAGACATCAGTGTTTATTTTCTATGATGCTATTTAAAATCAAAGGAAAATTAAAACAAACAAAAATGATCTAAACATTTTATCAAACATCACATAGGCAGTATTAGAGGGTACCAAATTACAAATACTATAGAATATAGATTTTGCTTCATAAAACAACATCCTTTCTTATTGGGAGAAGATAAAGTTGAAATGGTGATTCTCTCAAGGCACACTTGAGTGGTTCATGAAGTTTCTACCAGAATATTTTGTGACTGTCGAGTGCCTATGGACGGCTAGTGTCTTTTAGAACATTGGGCACCAAAATAGAAAATAAAGACCTCTTTATTTTTATAAAGAGTTCTTTATCAATTTCCCATGTTAAATTTTATCTTAAATAAAATCCATATTCTTCCTTCTTTATTTCAAAATAAATTTCCCATTCTAGTTCTGAACTCGACAGCTCAGTGTGGAATAATTTACCTTTACTTTTCCATTCATAGAAAGCTGAATTTAAAACCATATTTTAAAAAATAAATAAATAAGCAGATGCCACGTTAACATATTCAAATGATTACCAAAATCAAGTAAACATAGGTCTTTTTTAAATTCATTTTGTAAAACAATGTCAAAACATCACGAAATGAATATGAATTTGAGTTTTGACAATTTAGCATTTAAGTGAAAAATGAATTTGAGTGAAAGCTCTGATATTTGACATAACGAAAAATGAAGAAAACACAGAAACTTTATTTCAGTTACCTGTTAGAAAAGAATGCGACAAAAGCGCGGGGAAAATGGATGTCGGACGAAGTAGCCCCGCCAATTGTCCTCCATTGTTCTTCCAAGAAGTTCTGCAACTTGTGTTGTTTTTTACAGAGGATTGTTTAATTTGCTACGGAATCGGGAGAAAACACGAGGAAAGCAGCGAGTGAGATGAGACATTTGGGGTTTATATGGAAGCTAAAATGGTGAGTGATGAATATGAGATGTGTACAATAGTAATGCAGTGATTATAACAAAGTAATCAACAACACCATTACTTGCTGAAATGGAATTTTGTCTTATTGACTAAATTACACAAACTGAGAAATGTAATTTCTTAAGTGCCATCTAATCTAAAACCAAAAAAGAATGTTAGTTCGTCAAAAAATACCTTACCTATAGTAGGTGTTGTTTGAAAAAGCCACACAACCAAGTTGAAACACTGATCCCAAGAAGGTTTAGGCAGATAAAAGTGATTGGGGACATAACTTAGAACCTGATGAACAGAATTTTGAATCTACCAATTCGAATGGAAAAGCTTAGATCAAAGAAAAAGATTGGCTGCTCTCCGTAGGAGCTACAAAGGCCCGAGGTGCGGGCCATTAATGGCTTCAAACAGCGAAGGCGATTTCATCTACCACTGCGGGTGAGAGAGGCCGACAAAGCTTCTCGAGACACTAAAACTATCACCAAACTATATACCTACAACTAAGCCCCTTAATTAGTGCAAATTAGAGAACGAACATAAGACATCCTTCTTTCATTTTCACTTTTCATTCATTTTTTTTTGTTTAAGAAAGAGAGCTATCAATATGAAGAATTGAAAAACAAAAAAGGGTGGCTTAAAATCTAAACAAACGGCCATTAATATTTTTAGAAAAAACTTTAAGCAACTTTTCAAATTGATCTCTATTTAATGTGTATGAAAACTGTAGTAAGGATGCTAGAACATCCCATATATAAAACTCAAACTTTAGAAAAGATATCCTGACTAAAGCATCTTAATTTACATTGTTGAGCCTTTTATAAGAAAACATTCATAAAAAACATGTAAAGTGGCTAGATATATGAAATAATATGAGATAACAATATCAAAAATACATCAGAGTCCAAACTAATTTCAGACCAGAGTATTATCTAGGTCCTCCACAATTAGTTTATTCTAATATCATGTTCAAAGAAAAAGGCAACAGATTATAGAAAGGCCATTAGCCCCATGCTGGAATAGTGAAAGTTCATTTTTAGGTTGAAATAATAAAAAGCCGCTTCATCGAGCCAGTTTACAACAGCGGTATATCCTAAAATGGTGTTAATTGTTTTAATATCATGTAGAGTTCTCCCAAGTGATACACTTGGATGAATGATGTTAACATCTCTTGTATTTACTTTATTATATTTAGATATATCTATGTCTCTTAACAAATAGAGTGTTTCTAAAAAAGAGACATTGAATGCAAAAAAGAGCACACCATCATTTTGTGGAACTACTTCACTTCCGAAGCTCTCCATATAAAAAAATAGAATAATAAACCATGTAGATGATCATTGTCTTGAACAATACATAGATATAGATCTTCAACTAAGTGAAGCCCCAACCACAACCACAATAAAGAAATAAAAAATCACAATCATTTTCTAACAAAAGTTTTATTCTTGTTATCATTCACTACAGGTCAAATGTAAACTCTAATACAGGATAATGTAATTAAATTACGATCAACATCAGAACTCAACATAAAAAAAGGGTTTTAAGAGAATTACTCTATTCCAAGAAAATTGACAACCTGCATAGATAATATTATTACTGATTAAGTAGCAAATACTTTACTCGTTATTAGCAGCATATAAGACTAATTTAGAAGAATAGTTTACCTTGATCTCATATATAATCGGCTGGATTCCGGCTAAGACGATTCCAGAAGAAGAAGATCAATTTGAAGGAAGGAACACCAATCTCTTTTTTTGGATGATTTCCGCTCAAATGACTCCCGGTAGATGACTTCGGGTAGATGAATAGCCATCTTCTTTTTCATATATAACTTCATGGGATATGACTCCCAGTAGATTTAGGCAGATAAATATCTTCTTTTTTGACAGATTTCATGTTGTTGACGACACCAAAAATTTTGAGGAACTCCGACTTGAGAAGAAGAAAGAAGAAAAAGAAGCGGAAGGAAAAAAGCAAAAGGCGATAAAGCGAAAGAAAAAGTGAAAGGGAATCGGAAGTGAGAGAAGGCGGAAGCAAAAGATCGGCGGAAGAAGAGTTGTAATGATGGAAGGAAAAGAAGACGAAAGAAACGTGATAGGGAAAGAGATAGGTTATTTTGCCAAGAGAAGTGATCATATTGAGATGAACGGTGATGGATTATGTTGTTAGCTTAAGGATCATATTGAGATGAACGATGCAGATCAATTTGTATTGTTATTAAGTATAGAGGATTTAAAAAATATGATTGTGTTAGAATTATTTGAAAACATTATATAAATTCTGAATAAATGCTAAGAACTAAATGTAAAACTTCACACGATGAAATGAATGCGCATTTAAGTCCACCACATTATAAAGAAAATTATAAATTACTCTAAAGTAAATATTTCTTTGTAAACAACATTCAATGTTGATTTGGTTGGTTTTCCATCTTCGTCATTACAAACTCCAATCCCATGAACTTGTTACTCTCCACACCGCCACGTACAAATGTTTGTGAGTAATAATGGGGCGTCAGAGTAAGATAACAATTTTTTTCAACGATTGTCCGTGACTCTTATTAATGGCCATTGCAAACCTAACAATTTTAGGCGGAGAATGCTTAGGCGGGAAAATTTTCTCTCTCCAATATAGTGCTTTTAGGTATATGTTGAAATTAAATTTTACGATTTTAGGATGATGATTTTTTTTTTGGAAAGTGTAATTGCATTTTAGGATTTTAGGCGGAGAATGCTTAGGGCGGGAGAATTGTTTTCTCTCCAGTATAGTGCTTTTATGTATAGAATGTTTTTTTTTGCAGAAAGTGAAATTACATATTAGGATTTTAGGCGGAGAATACTTAGGCAGGAGAATTTTCTCTCTCCAGTGTAGTGCTTTTAGGTATAAGATGTTTTTTTTGCGGAAAGTGAAATTTCATTTTAGGATTTTAGGCAGAAAATGCTTAGGCGGAAGAATTTTCTCTCTCCAGTGTAGTGCTTTTAGGTATATGATGATGATTTTTTTTGTGGAAAGTGTAATTGCATTTTAGAATTTTAGGCGGAAAATGCTTAGGGCGGGAGAATTATTTTCTCTCCAGTATGGTGCTTTTATGTATAGGATGATTTTTTTTTGCAGAAAGTGAAATTACATATTAGGATTTTAGGCGGAGAATACATAGGCGTGAGAATTTTCTCTCTCCAGTGTAGTGCTTTTAGGTATATGATGTTTTTTTTTTGCGGAAAGTGAAATTTCATTTTAGGATTTTAGACGGAGAATGCTTAGGCGGGAAAATTTTCTCTCTCCAATGTAGTGCTTTTAGGTATAGGATTAGGTATAGGATGACAATGACACTATACTCATACGGGCAATAAATTTACTTACACTCTCTTCTTATTGAAATGTTTGCTACAATAAGATTGACATATTAATGGAGGGAAAAGTATTACTCCGTAAGAGTAATGAATAATGATGGAGTATATAGCTCAGGGACCCCCGGGCCACATACTTCCACTATTACATTTAGGCCCAATAGGTTCAAAGCGGGTCAAGCCTAGCAGGATGGAGCTCTAAGCAGCCCACGATACATGAAGGGGTGCCTTCGGCCCCATGGCCGAAGGCTACCAGTGACAGAATTGGGCTCAACAACATCACGGGAAAATAAGGCTTGAAAATCAAGCCTTCGGCAATTGGAGCCCTCGGCACTATGAGGCCTCCGGTACGCAGAGCCTTCGGACTGTCATCTACAGCCGAAGGCATCCCCTCGACAGAATCTCCCATCTACATGCGTTGGATCACCGTATCAAGTACAAACATCACATCCAACAACTGCATTTAATGCGGCCACATGCGAGTGCAAGTGTCACCACCAGAATGCTGACATGTGTCCCTATCTAGCATTTATTGCTGCTATAAATAGCACCTCCTTTTCCCATTGTAGAGCACGTTGAATACGCCTTAATTACACAACTCACATGTTCGAACTCACTCTCTCTTGCTTATTTTGCTCTGACTTCTCTCTAAGTTACTCCCCGCAGTAACCCCTTGGATAGATACCCCGGGTACACTATCCATCAAATAAAATAAAATAAAGTAGGATTTATAAATAAGTTTATTTCAGTAATACTTTTGAAAAATCTCAATTTATCTTGAAATTAATTTCAAAAAGAAAAATATTGATGTCACCAATATTTCCATTATTTTTTAAAGTATCAATATTTTAAGTTAGAAAAAAAAAGATACTACCTCCGTCCCATTTTATGTGTCTCATTTGGTTTTGACATACTTTAATAAAGTAGTTGAAAAGGAAAAAATTGTGATTAAGATTTGAGTATAATAAAGTGAAGAGAGAATTCTCTAAATAAGAGTAAAAAAGTTTTGAAATTCCAAAATAGGAGTATCATGTTTTTTATTCCTTGAATAAGAGTAAATTTCTGCCAAGTTTGGCATTACTAAGCTTTAAAATATGACTTTTTTTCCAAACATGGTAGATTACTCCTATTCAAGGAATAAAAAACATGATAATCTTATTTTGAAATTTCAAAACGTTTTTGTTCCTATTTATAGCAATTTCTATAAAGTGAAATGCTGTAAATCACATATTTCTGTCCAAAAAGAGAAATGTAAAGAGAAATGTGACATTTATTTTAAACAACAAAAAATGGAAAGTAAGACAAATAAAATTACTGTCATAAAATTTTATACTGAGGTATATCTTTAGAATGAAGGAGAAGTAATTACTTGTGAAAATTACTCTTCAGATCCTACTGAAAAATTAGAAATGAGTGTCAGCTTTGGTGTTGGTGTTGGTGTTGGTGGGGGTCCTTCTTCTGCTTCCTTGGTGATTCCACACCATAGAAAAGTGAATAGTGTAAGCATTACTACTAACCACTGTAGTCTTTGTCTCTTATCTTCTCCTAACTGACACCCTTTACCTTTACCCCACCACCACCATCCATGGCAAACATGGCCTAGCTCACCTATGTGAGGTACATTATGTCACGGATAAAGAAATCTCAGAACCCAGACCCTTTTCCTTTTCCGTGAATTCTTTGAGGGTATTTGATCGATTCCCTCTCACGCTAGTCTGTCATCATCAGATTCTCTCTTCCCTACCCTTTCTGTCAAATGCCCGGTATGGAGGCGGTCGACGCCGACGAGGAGGCCAATGGCGGGGAGGAGGCCGGCAATCTCAACCGCCAGCGCCGCCAGCGCCGCCGCCAGCGCCGCCGCAGGCCGTCCTTGGCCGCGAGTAGTGAGACCACCACCGACGGGAGCTTCCGCTTCACCGATTCGGACTCAGATCAGTCGTGGGCCTCCGTCGTCGGCGGGCCCTACGAGGAATGCCGGTTTTCCGCGGCGGAGCGGCATAGACATAGCAGGAGGAAGTTCCGGTCGGTGCCCGGGTTGGTTTCCGACGAAGAGATCGATTTGGAAAGCGGGGAATTGGAGCTGAAAGCCCGCAAGGAAGAGGAGGAGGAGGAAGAAGAGGAGGAGAGGAGAGATTGTAGAATTTGCCATTTGAGCTTGTCCCGGAGCGGCGGCATCGGCGGTGACGGTGAACCCGAGCTCTCCTCCGGCGAAGCTATTGAATTGGGTTGCTCTTGTAGAGGTGATCTGGGGACTGCCCACAAACAGTGTGCAGAAACTTGGTTTAAAATACGAGGGAACACGTAAGAACTCACTTCATCCTTCACTCTGTTTTCCCTCTGTTTTGATTGATTGACTGATTGATTTCCAGAGCAGTTCTTCATAGAAATGCTGTTTTTTGTTTTGCATAGTTATTTGCTGTACAAGAGTATATAATTTCTTCATAGAAATCATTTGTTTATACTCCATATTAATTTCTGGGAACTGAATTCAAGTTTATTCTGCTTACATTTCAATCTACTTTCATCCATCACTTCCTTGTATTAGATACACAGCCTCTTGGCTTCATCTCTTATACAAATGCACCCTCTCCAATCTCTGCATTATTTGCAATTTGAAGTTTTAGGATGGGGTTCTTTTGTGCAAGAAAAGAGGTGTAAAATAAAACTTAGTACATGCTGAAAACTTGGTAGTCATCATAAAATGTCATTAGTTAGAAATGTAAAGCTGAACGTCTTCAAGAAATTGGAGCTGTTATAAGACATGCAAATCCTCTAGCATCTGAAATTTTTCTTGGTGCAGTTTCTCTTTCTTTTTTTCTGATTGTTTTCCCTTTAATTGACTTCTTTGTTTTCGCTTTTGTAGCTGATATAGATGCAAAAACAATAAATAATCAAGTTTATCGATAAAATTACGAAAAATAAGAAATAAAAATGTAGGAAACATTGGAGGTCGTAGCCTAAAGTTTAGTAAGACCGGGATTTGTAGAGCAAATGCATTTAGAGCATTAGGCAGAGAGATTATTGAATAAGTTGTATAAACTCCAAACAAGTTGGTACAGATGCTTCAATATAAATTGCAAATGCCCTACCTTTGACCCCTTTCTAATTGGAAGGCTGTGTATGTCTTAGGCTCAATTAGTCTCCAGGAAATAACTTCAAGTGGAAGATGTTTTTGACGACAATTTTTCTCAAAAGTAAGTTGGGGAAATGACTTTAAGTTTTTAAACAAGGAGTCATTTTCCCTAAAAGTTTAGCGTTCATTACTTCATTTGGTCTTGGTAAATAGTAGGGAAAGAATATAAGAAGAAAATCATAGCATGAAATTGGAAGTAGAGACAACATGGGGGAAATAAAGTACTCTGTATAAGCTAAAACTCAATAAATTTGTTTTAGATATTTGATACTAATTTTATTTATTTATCTCTATTGTAGCAAGGCTAAGAAGTTAATGTATATATGTAAAAAAAACTTTAAACAAATAATCACAATTGCAAGGTCAACTGAAAATTAGAAAATAATTTTCCATGGGTCTTTTTTTTATTTCCATAGCATTTTCCTGGAATGCACCTCTAAAGAATCAAGAATAATATTCCCCTACAGGAAAAATTCAAATTCAAACCTATCCAATGCCTAAAAATCAAAACTTTACTTGGTGCAGTTGTGCTTTTCTCTGTCTTTCCTTTGGTTTACTCATTAGATTCATCACCGTATGGTGATAATAATACAAAGGCTACATTCCAACATGCATTTCAAGTCCTGAGCTTTTTGCACCGTGGAAATTAAAACATACTGAAACTTATATATTTATCAGTGCAATTTTGTGACCCATAAGTTAGTGTTAATGATTAAAACTCAATTTATTTATAAACTATAAAGGTTCTAGTGAACTTTGAAGTGCAAAAACCAAATTTAAATATGATAAACTGGAATTGTGCAAATAAATGAAAATAAGAAATTGCACCTTTTTGTGGGATGGTGAGCGTATAAAAGTTAAGGAATTCAGTCATATAGTGATATAGTTTTGTAACTTTGTTTGAATTTTGCCTATTTTTTGCATGCCAAGCGCAAGAGAATCAGAAAACAAAACTTTTTGATGCAGTTATGAGTTATCTTATCTAAATATCCACATCTGATGCAGAATATGTGAAATATGTGGAGAAACTGCGGTCAATATTGGCAGAGAGCAGGCGGCAACTGAAGAAAATGAGATGAGCATTGCGGTGCCTTCAACACCAGCGGCAGCAGCAGTCGTCCCACCCGAGACCCAACGCTTTTGGCATGGTCGGCGCGTCATGAATTTTCTGCTCGCTTCTATGGTCTTTGCCTTTGTCATCTCATGGCTATTTCATTTCAACCTTCTCCCATGAAGGAAAGGGTTCCCCCTGTCAAGCAGTCTGTGGATTTGCAGCCCAAGGTTTTACTTTATTAATCAATCAATTCAGCAGAGGTTTATTTGCTGAAAATGTACTGCACCGCTGGGGGTATCTTCTTTAAGTGGTTGTAAACGCTAACTTTGAAGCTCATTGCTTTTAAATGTTTGTTCTAAGCAGAAGATGTGATTCGTTTGTTCTGTACATAAATCCTTTCTTGAAGATTGAACATTCATTGTAATGTAAATCAGTATTCCTTCCCCCTGTTGTCGTCTCTAGCAGTCCATATAACTATATAAGTACTAACAGAGCAGATGATTATGTGTTCCATCTGATTGCATATCCCTTTTCTTCACTCCAACAATCATTAGTGTGTGGTACAAGTGAAAAACAAACAAAACAGATTTACCACGGAGTTAAATTGACCACCTACTTAACATCATTAAAATTATGACTAATTGACTACAATTTGCTTAAAATTACCACATTGCACACTTGGCATCATCTATTCTCAAACTTTCTTGCATATAATTATACCATAATCACCTTAATATCAATTATTTCTTTTTTGAGTTGGTGTTCATTAACAATGAATTGTACACTGATTTAGTTTTAGAACTATACCATTTTTACACCATTCTTCAGAGTGACAAATAGGTAAGTTTTTTATTGATAAAATTATCAAATAAACCCTCGTAAGTCGTAATATATATATATATATATATAAATAGGCAGTTGATCAATTCCATTAAAAACTAAATTGTATCCGTTGCCCCTGTTACACAAGGCTTGCCTAGTGTGTTTTACCTTAGTGTGATTTGCAGGCTATTTCACTCAATCCGGTTGTTTACCCTATGGGTACTCAAAGAGTAGTCCATGTTGGTTCCCCATTACTAAAAAAACATACTTCTTCCTTCCCTGAATTTATCTTCAAAATTTCTTTTTTTCTTCCGTCCCTGAATTCTCTTTGCCTTTAAGGTAAAAAAATCTGTTTTTTTCTTTATAAAACAAACTATGTTTAAGGTGGTGTAAAAAAGGTTTATAAATATGGTGGACAAATACGGAGTAGCATTCTTTGATACTTCGCAGTTTTATCAGGTCAAGAGAGAAAACTTATGACAGGTAACCCAATCGGACATGTCTCGTTATGATTATACTCTTTGTTCCCAACATATAAATTGGCTAATTATCATTCTAGGTATGCTGGTTGATTTTCACTCCGGCAGGAATCTTCTGCATGATGACACCCCGGCCCTGTAGGCTCCGAGGTATGCTGACATATAGAGAGTGAGACTCTGTCCCCAATACTTGTAGAGGCCCTATGCATTTTTAGCATAGTAACCCTTCATCGCAGTTGACGGGATTCGAACCCGGGATCTAACCCTTGTGACACTCCCTTGCTACCAGTTAAGCTACGCCCACCGGTTAAAAATAAGGTATGGGTAAACTTTTTATAGTGACTAGCTCCACCGCTTTCACGACCCCTTACCCTAGAAACCCAACTTTGGTTTGGCCCTATGGGTTAGTATACACCGCTTGGCCCTACCACTTAAGGATTTTTTTGGGGAGCATAGTACCACTGGTGCTAGTGGGACGCGAACACGAGATCTCTTCTATGCAGGGGTAACCTCACAACCAGCTAGGCTGTAAGTTCAGCAGGAATCTTCTGCAGGTAGCTAGCATGGTGGCCTAAGCAACAAGTCCTTGAAGCACACAAGCTAGATCTTCATTTGCAGAATTGGTCGTATACTTCCTCTGAAAAGGATCCTCACCATACGGTAGAGTGCTTTGTGGGAAGAAGTTTTTTATTTGTACACATAATTTGTATACACTTGGCACACTTTCTTGTGTACACAGACATCTCGTATAGAAAAAATAGCAATTGTCTGTGTACACCGCCGAGTGTAAAATATATACTAAATGTGTACACCTCTTAGTTATATGTGTAGACAGGTAACTCATTTAGAAAAAGGAAGCAATTGTCCGTGTAGATAGGAGAATGTGCCAAGTGTGTATAAAATTTGTGTACACAAGAATGATTGTTGTGGGAAACGGAGGGGTGGATGTAACCAAAGACACATCGAGATCGGCGAAAAAATGAATCTTTAAATCTGTGACCGTTGATTTTTCGATCGGACGGCCAATATTGATCGACCGTTGAATTTTCTATCAAAGGGCCAATATTGACCGACAGCGTACCTTGCTATCAAAGCATAATAGAGAGCTAGAGACACTGAATCCACCACTTTCTGCGTCCAAACTATTTCATTGTTTGAATTAAAATTAGTTTGTCGTTGGGAAATAAAGTTGAATTGAATTACGGAGTAATAGATATGATAAGAAACACATTTTTTTGTTTCTTTCTAAAAATTGAGGAAGAGGGTTATTTTGAAAAACATCAAAAAATAAGAAAGTTTTAGGACTTTAGAGTAATTTGGGGTATAGTATTCTAGTTAAGTTTGGGTAGAATATCTAACGACACAAAGCTAAAATTAAAGTTTTTTAATTTTAACCCAATCGAAAGGGTTTAAAAAATATGCACCACATCGAGATTTGAGATATGGTAATGAAAGTAGAGGACTTAGGGATGGACCGGTTTCGGTTCGGGTCCGGTTCGGGCCTGGGCCCGGTTCGAGCCTGGGCCCGGCCGGGCCTCGGTTCATGAAAGGGAGGCCCGGAACCGGTCCGGGTAACCCCCGGGTCCGGGCAGGGCCTCGGTTCTATTTTTTTTTTTTTTTTTTTGGGCTTTTCCTAGTTAACCCTCAACCCTCCCCTCACCCCCAAACCAACCCTAAACACCTCAAATGGCCCAAAATATCCAACCCAACCCAAAAACTTATAAAAAATTCAAAAAAAAAACAATAGGCCCGGCCCGGACCCGAACCGGCCGGGCCGGTTCACCTTTTGAAGGGCCCGAGCCCGAACCGCCATCCCACCGGGCTGGGTGGCCCGAACCGGCCAACCAACCGGTTCACCGGGCCGGTCCGGGCCCGCACAGTAGCGGGCCGGTCCGGGCCCGCACAGTAGCGGGCCGGTCCGGTTCCGGGCCGGTTGGCCCGGCCCGAGTCCACCCCTAGTAGAGGTAGTTAAAAAAATACCCCCTTCACATTTACTAAGAACGACGACGTTCCGTTTTCTTGCTCCCAAGACTATTGCCTGGTTACGATCAATTCTACATTTGTTACAAAGTGATCTTTGTATTGTAAGATGGCTGCGGAGAACGTTTCAGCACCCACTGCAGCAAACAAGCAACAACAGGTTCTTTTCATAACTTATAACATGTTGGGCAGTGGGTTTCAAAACCGATCGAGTAACTCATGCAAGGTCTAAGACGGAGAAAGTTCCATAAATAAGACTAAAATAGTACTTTAGTAGATAAAATGCACTTTGTACGCTTTGTTTATGTTTTAGTCTTGTTTGGAGCATTTATTTTATATAAATTGCTCTAAATAGGACAAAAAACGTTTTTATATTTCAAACTAGGATTGTTCATATTTTTATTCCCTAAATAAGAGTAACTAATGTCATGTTTTTGGCCGTATGAGACTTTAAATATGACATTATTTTCAAAACTTGAAGTAATTACTCATATTTAGGAATAAAAACATGAAAGTCATATTAATTATAGAGCGATTTACTATTATTACGGGAATTTTCCCTTGTTTTTAAGATATTGATAGATTTGGATTTGTTTGAATTCTGATTTAGCACCATTCGGTTGTGTTTTATAGTACAAACTATGTACTGCAAAACTGAACGGCCATTAATTTTGTCTGTTTTTATTAGTTACTCCGTATATTCTTTTGGTGTGGTTCAATTCAGTTTTGGTCAGTTTTAGTTTGTCATTTTTTTCCTTTTTTTTCAGCCATGATAATTGTAATTAATATTCTTATTGTTTTGGTGTTGTTGGGCAGATTGTTGGATGGGTGGAAGAGTTGGACTACCGAACACAGTTCTTCAACACGTAATTATTTCATTTCGCATCCCATTATCTTTGAGGCATATTTCATTCTTTGTTCATAATAATACTAAGTTTATCTCAAAACATATTTGATAGTATTGGTATGTTTCAAATGTTTTCATCGTTTACAAATTTAATACAAACAACTTGATCACATTATTATTTTTAATGTGTCAGTTTCTCTTGCCTAAGAGTTAGCTGACAGTAATATTTATTATGTGAGAAAACTACTCTTTGATTGAATGGTAAAAAAACTGTGAGCTGAACTAACCAACTAATGGCCTAATGCATTTATTTGTGTGTGTGTGCTGAGGTGAATGTGCAGGCTTACCCAAACATGTTTCAACAAGTGTGTTGACAAAGGTTACAAGGAGACTGAGCTTTATATTGGAGAGAATTCGTGCATTGATCGTTGCGTTTCAAAGTACTGGCAGGTCATATAGTTTAACAGTAATGTCATTCCAGTTCTAATTGTCATCATTCTAATGAAGGGCGAACCAGATGCCTGTGTGGAAGGCGGGGTAGATTCGGTCAAGGGGAGTCGACATGTGGGCTGAGTTTTCATGTTGTATGTATCAATAGGACATACATTATATTTGACCGTCTTTTCGTCCACTGTTTTTTAGGTAACAAATCTTATTGGTCAACTACTTGCTTCTGGGCGTGAGGGAACTGGTTTACAGTGAACTACTAAGCTACTATGGAAGATGCTGCAAATTCTTTTCAATTTTTAATTTCAGGGGTGGATCTTTTCATATTTTGTACTCCAGCCACAAAGTATGGACATATTTTTGCTGTTATCTAATGAAGGGCATTGTTCTTTGGCATTGTTCTCCATCTCTGAAAGAAAAACCAGTGTATTTAGTAGCTATACCTAGCCACCTAGGGGCTTCTCGAACTGGACCATACCGGAATTCGGCAGGTGAACTAACCGAAGTACCGAACCATGGCCCATTTGGACGGCTCTCTACTGAGAGGAGTCCAAACAGGTTTTACCCCATAACAGGATAGGAACTGAATGTTTCTAGTGTTTTTTGGAAAATAAAACATTATAGAAATCCGGAACTAGAAAGATACAGAACAGGTTCACCCGGTTAAGGTTCCAATTCCACTCCTATCCTTACCCTTAACCAGCTAGTGCAGAATAAGACCTACCATTGGTTAATGGCTTATTTGCCTACTATGCTTAAGCAAATTAGACCTTTACACTTATTTTATTGATGAAATGATTGATACCAAACACTCATTTCCTTAAAATTCAAATTGATTCAGCAATTTCATCCAGAGAAATTTTACCAGACTCGAAATTACCATTAGCATGATTCACTCAGACACTTAAAAACCTCACAATTGGCATCTTCATCCTCCCCAGACCCCAGTGACGAAGAAATGGGATCCACCACCCCGTTGTGGGGCGTACACCATTAAATGTCTAAAGCAGAAGTCAAAACTCACTTCCAAGTCCATTCTAGTGAAGAAAGCCAGAATGAATCATCTTGGTGATTTCATAGTCAAATATTTTAAAATAACTTTTGGGGAAATGGAAGATGAAACAAAGGGTCCAATAATAGAGGAAGAAAATAATAATTAACCTATACATTCGCATAGCCTTTATGGTCTTTTTCTTTGGGCTTCAAGAGAAGCTCCATCAGCCAGGACTTCCCTAGCATCTGAGTCCATACCCAGACTGAAGAGAGCAGCAGCTTGAAGGTAAAAAGCAGTGGGCCAATCAGAATACACCGTGTGTGCTTGCATGGCATCTGCAAGTGCTTCTTGTGCCTTATTGCTCATTAGGTAACACAGTGACCGCCTTGCTAGCACTGACGGAGACACAACCGTCCCAACCTCTATGAACTGCAAAACCACACAAACATATGTTTTTGAATTATGATTTGGTCGTCACACTTGAATACTTGATAGTATAGGGAAATGCAAAAAAAAGTTCAAACTCAATAGATCAACTCAGAAGCAAGAAGTCATTTTTAATTGATAAAGCAGTTTTTCTCAAGGTCATAAAAAACCACACCATTCATTCAACTCTAGCGATCTGTTGTGTCAACAGAACTTAATGTAGATATATTAGTGTCCTAATGAATTTCATGTGTGTCCCAAACCACAGATTCCACTTGGACAGTCTGATGTGGATATGAAATTGGGGGACGTACCTCTGTGTAACTATCGATGGCAGTTGTAAGATCTTTAGCTCGGAAAGCATTATCACCTCGTTTCCTACTATTTATGGTGTCCTGTATTTCACCTGTCCACATCTGAAATGAAAGCTGCAAAAGCGAAGAGAATGTCAGCCACGGTTGCATGTTAGAAAGAGTTAATACCCAGTTTAAGTTCCCTACTTATACAATTCAATTTAGTCCTCGACTGTTTAGAACTCAAATTTGTCCCCATCTGTGCAATTTGAACATAATGTAGTTTTCATACATATTAGCCCCAAATATGTACTCAAATTTTGATCATTCACTAAATTAAACTCAATTTGGTACTCAAATATGTTGTATGAAACCAATTTACTTCTCCACATATGAAAATACCTCTTATATTTATAGTAAAGTGAATCTAAATTACATGGAAGAGACCAAATCGAATAAAAGAGTAAGTTAGGATCACATCGAGTGGCCTTATAAAATAAGGGACTTAATTAGGCTTTAAAGCTGTGGAGATACAATAGAAGAAAATGCAATAGTATCATTTAAGATGGCATACACCACTTTATCCAAGAACTTTTAATTTAATATAATGGGAGAAGGAACGGATATGCCCCTGAACTATATGCTCTAGAGAGCAAATATACACCTCAATTATTTGAACAATTGAACACAGACATTGTAAAATTGAAACAACTATACCCTTAAATTATACCCTTAAAGATTGCAACAATAGGCATTGGCACATTATTTAAGGAAGAAATAGTAGGAGTAATGAATAGTGTAGAAAAGGGAGAAGAGAGGTTGGAAAAGTCTGAAAAAAAAGATAAAAAGTAAGGGTACTTGAGTATTTTTAAAGGAAAAACTTACTAAAAGGGAAAAGTATAACAAACTTTTAAATACATCCCAAAAGGAAAGTGTAACAAACTTTAAAATAAGGAGAGAGTACTACATATAATATACGCAGTAAAACACACACACACACATATATACGACTCATGTGTTTCAAGGCTGAATATATATATATATATATATATATATATAGAGAGAGAGAGAGAGAGAGATAGGGGGCGGTTCCGGTGAGAAAGGAGTCCCATGAGACTGATGAGAGAAATTAGAATAAAATATGGCCCTGAGAGTGGTAATCTAATGGTCAATATTTTTCAGCATAATGAAAGCTATTTTAAAAGAAAGTACTCCCTCCGGTTCCTATTAAAGTTCCCAGTTTGACTTCACACAGATTAAGAAAATAAATTTGACTTTACTGTGGAGTGCACTGTTTGGCACTGTTTGGACACTGTTTGACACTGTTTGGCACTGTTTTGCACTGTTTTGTTTCCTACAATGGAAGTGTGAACTTAAATAAGGGACATCCCTAAAAGGAAAGTGAGAACTTTAATACGAACCGGAGGGAGTAATAAATAATAATCAAAGCTTGAATGTTCAGCTTGTATAGGGATACAAGTGTAAAAATACATTCATTGATATTTATATTATTAATTACGTATTGTGCTTTATTTGAAAGTTACTGACATGATCGTGCTTTTACTCAAATTAAAACATAACATTTATTATCATTCTAGTTTTATGTAGTACAAACTACAAGTGTTCAATAAATTTAAGTTGACAGTGCACTAAGTTTGAACTCATAACATGTTATAGATAGGTGATACTCTGTTAGTGCAAGACTAATTATATGCACATTTAGTTAAAGTATTATGCAATTTATATACATCCAAGTTCTAAACGTAATAGTATGCTATGAATATATGTAACTGGTGCAAGAAAAATTGTACGCATAACTAATTAAAGTGTTGTGCACCATATACATTTTCACACTTTTTAGGTGCATAATATAAAAACTACATATTATGATGTGCGCCAAGCATAAGTAAGTGCACTTTTATACGTGATATACAACCTACAAATTATCTTTTTATAGAACACGTAAACATATTTTGAATCTCAATTTTTAACTATGTGCACTTCTAGACCTATCATGCAAAACTAGGGATGTGCATAAGTAGAATGCTAGAAAGTGTAATTAGAATGAAATTAATTATTTTTAATATCCAAAATTTGCAAACCTAGAATGCTAAATGTGCATACGTAGAATGTCAAAAGTGCCAAATTAATTGCATGTACAATTTTAAATAAAATGCACACATGATTGCAGGGATGGATAATGTTGTGTAATGCCAGGCAATGTTTTTTGGTCTATATAAAAGTGCACTTTTGTGATGTGATTTTTTTAGTCAAATGAAATGCACTTTGTTCACTTTAAAAGTGCAAAATGTCTTATTGTGCTATCGGTGCTGATTGTATCTCTTTCGTTTTGTTATATGTCAATGACTTTTACACTATTCATACAGTCTAGTTTGACAATACTTTCTTTTTATTAAAGCATTACAAAATTTATCATATAAACATTTTATATGTATCTCAAAGTGAAACTTCTAAATTGGATTTTCAAATTTTTACTAATAGCCAATTAAATATACTAATGGTCAAATTCAAAGTATGAAATACAAATTACAAAGTATACAGCTAAATATTAAATGAACTATAATCCAATAAAAATAAAACTACGATTGCTGAATGAGAAAACATCTATTCATAAAAAAAATATGGTTAACCCTTTTAAGGACACAATGAAATAATGCATAAACCATTTTGCTGTCAAGACCAAACTTTTACGTTTAACATTTAAAGAAAAAAATTGAAAAAATAATGGTTCATAGAAAATGTAAAACTAAAAGGTACAGATAATGAAAAAAGTATGAGATAACTTAAAGGAAAGATTATTACTAATGAAACTTGTGGGGAAACTTTAATCAATGGCTTCGTATAAAAAGGGGAAGGATTGGAAAATAACAAATTAGCCCTCTGTATTAGAAAAAGAAAACTGAAAAAACAGCTTGATCTAACGGCGTAGGATCCTTCTCATTTCACTCATAAGGATGTGTGTGTGTGTGTGTGTTCCCTAATATAGTTCAAGGGATATTTGTTCTAACTTGACAAATTTTGTGTTTAACTGTTCCAAAACAAGTTGAGGGTATTAACATGATCTCTGCCATGTACTCAATGGTATATTTGTTTCTTATCCCTTAATAATAAACTACTCGCTCAGTCCCGTTGAAAGGTTGCCACTTTCCTTATTTGGATGTCCCATTTAAAGGTTCTCATTCCATTTTAGGAAATAATTTACTCTCTTTCATTACACCTTTACTCAAATTACTTTTTCTTATTCATTACATGTCACGTATCACAATGTCCCCTCCCTCAACTTATCTCCCTTTATTTACTTTCACTTTATATGTTTACGTTTTCTAAATTTCCTCTTTCCTCTCTCTTTTACACAAATTACTTTATTTAGCCACTTGCCTAAAAAGTCATGCCATTTACACACGGGCCACGGGAACCTTCCAATGGGATGGAGTGAGTACGAAGTATGAAATTCTAGAAACATTTTTTGGACCATTGCAGGTATTTAATGGGTTTTTGGATCATAAATACAGGACACCATAAGACAAACTTTGAACAGATATGGCATTTTAAGTTAGCAATATCAGAAAGAAGAAACACAAAACCTCATTTGAAACACCCTCATCATCCTTGTACCCTGTATTTTCCAAAATCTCATGGATGGCAGTTAAATCTAATCTTGCACAAGCTTCCCCAAGAGGGGATAGTTTGGGGGAGTGTGTTGGAGACGGTGTTTCTTCAGAGATGCCCATCAAAACATATGATGCCACCTGATGCACAATCAGTTAATTTTTAGACTTTTACCACCTCCACTCAGATAACTATTTTTCAAATAAAAAGATATTTAAAGAAAAGGTTACATCTGTTTCTCTCTGAAGAGGAGTGAGGTTGGTTACAAGGGATTTGACATTTGGTCTCTCACGTGCTTCATACTGCAAACAACGTGTTGCTAAACGCACCACTTGAGTTCCCTCAGCATCTGTGAAGTGACCCTCCAAACATGAATCCATCAGCACTAGATAATTCTTGCCACGTATCAAGTCAAGTGCCTACACATACGGATTTAAGTAGTTGAAGTTGAAGGAACTTGTTTGTTTCCAAAGTGTGTTTCTACTCTTCTTGATAAGTATGAAACTTCTTCATGTACAAGCCTATGTCTGGTAAATCTGATAATCCTGATAACGATTTTAAGAACTATGTATAAAAGGATAGACCAAAAGAAAATAAACGCTTACATGACTTGGTGGAATATGCTTCCCACTTAGAAGATCAAGCAACAGAGTGCCAAAACTGAAAACGACACTCTCGGGAGTTATTCTACCTGCCAAAAATAATAATAGTACCATCAGGTTACTTCTGTCAAATAAGGGCAGGCAATAATTACTACTTTTGTAACTCATAGTAGGACAGTAAGTTCCAGGGAAGACGGAATCAGAAAGATTCTTACGGCTTGTATAATAAAGGGAAAGTGTGGAGTATCTGATAGAGTTAATAGTTTATCTGATAAAACCTCTCTTATTTTTCTTCAGTGTCTGCTTTTGCATAGATAACATGAAAAATAAACATTTAGGCTCTAATTGGTAGCAGTATGTGGCTCATTTTGATTATTGGCGCCAAAAGCGGAAATTAGGTAGATTTGTAACTCTCACCTCATTTTGTCAGAAATGGATGTTACCAAATACTTTTCCTCTAAAAAATCAGCAGATTCACTTATTTCACTCATTCACTCATAATATTTTGATGAGTTGATAAGCATGTGACTTCAAGAATTATGCATCCACAATTGGGAACTGTATAACAATTACACTGACCAACCAAGCATAGCTAGTGCCTTATACAAGTTATACATTTCTTTTCTGGAAACTAGTAATAACGTTATAACGTAACATACCTATTTCCAAAACTAGAAATCTAATTATACCACAGATTATCTCTTTGCATAACAATGACATGACAATGTTTGAAATAAAGAATTAAGTGAATACCTGTTCTTAAATATTCTGGGGGCGTGAAGGCCAGATTTGTACTATAACTCTTTCCATCACGACTATTCTTCATTAACCCAAAACACGAAAGCCTTGGATTACAGTCCTGTCACACACACAAACCATAAGGAGAAGAAAGCTAAATTATTTAAAACATGTAACAAAATCCAACATGGGAAGTTTTAACTTATGTGATAGGAATCAGGCCCATTAGACTAAGAATAAAAATAATAACAACAATAGATGTAAAGAGAGTATAAATAGCTTGGAAAGGGGAGTTAGTATGTAGGCTTTTAGACATTTGGTCTTAGGACTGGGAAGGATACGAGGCTGAACATCTCTATCTTTTGGGGCTTCGGCTTTGGGGGCCTTTGGCCTTTGTACTGATTATTGTTCATCTTCTTCAATAAAGATTACTTTGTTCATTGATATTAATTTCTGTAATTTCTGGATAATTGGAGAGTTCTATCGGTGGTATCAGAGAACGCAGATTCTGTGGATGGTCTTGACGCGTACGCAGATGGATATATGGATGAACGAGCTGGAGGAAAACCAAAAGAGATTCAAGGAAACGTTGGAGCGAAATCAACAACAGATGAAGGCGATGTTTAAGACGATGCAGGCTACGATCGTGAAATTGGCGGAGCAAGGCCAAAGTCGTTCGCGAAACAGTTCGCGCCCTTCGCATAGGTCTCACCATACTTCGCACAAGGGACACACAAGAAATTCCGATCACGGAGAGCATGGCAACAGCGAACTTCGAGCGAGGAGCCCTAGACATTGTTCGTCGCAGTCGCTCACAAGTTCGCAGTCGGAGTCGCGAACTACTTCTCTTGGCTCGCAATCGCGAACTTCTTGTCAGTGTTCACAGTCGCGAACAGTTTCTTTCAGTTCGCAGACTTCCTCACCAGCCATCAGTTCGTGTCAAAGAAAGACGCGATTGAGAGGAGAAACTTCTTCGTGTAAAGTCGCTTATCGGAATTCAGCTAGTTCAAAGACGGGGGAATTACCTCTATTCCACGAGGATAAGCGTACGAATGGATAGGGAGGATGGAAAGATATTTCCGAGTCCAAGCTATTGCACAAAGATTTAAAGTAGACATTGCAGCCAAGGCAATGGGAGAAGCTGCAGATGGCTGGTTTCAATGGTGGGACTTTCACAAGAGAGAAGATAGTTGGGAGGCTTTAAAGGAAGACTTGATTAGGGATACTCCACCTAGACACCGGCAGAAGACAAGGAAGACAGCCAAACAGGAGTCATCGAGGTCACCAAGAACTTCTCGTTCACAAGTGTCTCACCCAACGTTAGAAACTTCCCAGTCTACCAAGAAAAACCAGATAGAACCAACTGAACCTGTAATCAAGCAAGGGAATAAGAGAGATGAAATCAAGGAGAAAAGACAGGTTATTCAATGGCCAGAATCGCCAGATTATGTTTATTCTAATCTTGCCGAGGATGTGGATTTAATTCCCAGCCAAGTTTCTATTATTGATCCGCTTATCCAACCATGTTCCTTTGGAAATAGAGTCCTAATGACTTCTGAAACTAGTACAGAGGCTCAGGAGGAGGAGGTTGAAATTGTTTCAGGAGAATCTGCTATTATATGGGGAAACCAATCACAGATTCAGGATGATGACAAGCCTAGCCATTTCCAACACCTTGGCAGAAATTCACTGCAACTTGCAACTCTAAATATCAAAGACTTAGCAAGTTCTTTACCTGCTGAGGTATCCCAATGGGTACAAGTAAGGTGGGCAAAGTCTTCAGGGTTTGGTACAATATTGCAGCTAGGGGTTGAGAGCATCTTAGGCTACTCCCAGCTTGACTTACATGATTCATTTAAAGCACCTGGAAATTGTCTCATGTTGGAAGACATCTCTGCAAAGACAGCTCTATTCTTTCCTGATGTTTTTGAATTCGTCACAAGGTTAATACAGAGAATGACCCTTAAGAATTACCAGCAAGCTCTAGGCGAAGTTATTGATACATCAAAATTTTCAAAGAATCTCTATGGTGATCCGTTCCATTCTATGGCAAGATTTTCTGGAATGCCAGGAAATTACCTGGGACAGAACAACCCTGGTTTTCGTTGGACTTATGATCCTTTGGTAATTATTATTTCTTCTGATTTTGCATTGGAACTTTCTGATTTTCAGCTGATGGGTGCATTATACAAAGAAAAAAGGCCTAATCTTAAAGTTGACAGCAGGGTGTGCAGTATAATGGAACAAATGTTACTTCGGGGTCATGATGTGGGAATACAATTGGAGATTGTTGAAGTCTTAAATTCAGAAAGAGAAATACCGCATGACTCAAGTTCTCTTAAACTTTCTTCTGACCTGAGTGTGGATGAAGTTCTGTATGAGCTATTCAGTGTGAAGTCTCACTCAAGAGATAGGATGAAATCAGAGGCAAATGCTTTGCTAAGGCTGATCAAGGATTTTTCATCTAGAGGACTAGAAGTATGGGAACTGCTGATACCGCCATCAGCGAGGTACTGGGAAGGGAGAGGAACCCGGAGGAAGCTGAATTCCAAGCTTGGTTCCTATCTCCCCACCTTGAGGACAAGGTGGATGTTTAGGGGAGGAGTATTGATAGGAATCAGGCCCATTAGACTAAGAATAGAAATAATAACAACAATAAATGTAAAGAGAGTGTAAATAGCTTGGAAAGGGGAGTTAGTAGGTAGGCTTTTAGACATTTGGTCTTAGGACTGGGAAGGATACGAGACTGAACATCTCTATCTTTTGGGGCTTCGGCTTTGGGGGCCTTTGGCCTTTGTACTGATTACTGTTCATCTTCTTCAATAAAGATTACTTTGTTCATTGATATTAATTTCTGTAATTTATGGATAATTGGAGAGTTCTATCATTATGACTGCACAAGATTAAGGGATTATAGTAGTAGATAGAGAGGCCAGTTAACTTACTTGATCAAAGAGAACTCTATAAGCATTCAAATCATGATATAGTGACCTCCCCTTACTACTGCAATAATCCAATGCTTGTGCCAGATACAGAGCAACTCGTAACCTCATTGCCCATTTCAATGGCTGTGTATCCCCTACATCCATTCAACCAAACACCAGTCATTCCCGTACACAATACACGCACTTTACTTAAATCATGTTCAGGAAACAGCCATTTCAGTTATTCCAAAGCCATTTAAGTTCTCTTTTTTTCAAAAACTGCCAAGTTTGGGATGATAAATTTCAATGTGAATTTTCTTTTATGTACTGTTTCAGTTGTTTCAAAGAAGATCGAACTTTCCATGTTTTGATTATTTTCAACACACTTTTACTTTCAGATTTTCAGTTGATTCCATACCTATTTTACCACGTAAAGTCAAAATTTTATTGCATCCAAAATAAAATCTAATTATTTTCAAACCACATACCACTATACTTTACCCAAACAAACACTGATTTTGATTTTAATCATTTACAACAATAATAGAATATTAGAATATCATATAATCTAGGAAATTTATCAATCCAAGACCTTGAAGATAGGTTCACCATCAATAAGGGACCTCAAAGATTAAATGTGTCCATATAGAGCCCGAATGATTGAAAGCTATCAATGTAAGACCTAAGATACCATGGTTCTTAAAAAAATCATTTTAAGTATTATTTAATCTTATTAAACAAATAAACTTTTGTGAAGAAGAAATCATCAAAAGTTAGCAATGGAATTACTAAAAAAATTAAACAAATCAATCAGCTCCCTTGTTGATAGTTTTCAATCATTTCGGCCCTATATCGACACTGATGACACATTTTATCTTTCAGCTCCCTTATGAACCTATCTTTGAAGTACTGGATTGATCAGATTCCTATAATTTATTATTGAAATAATATTATATTTTAGCTTTATCATACACTCTTATCCTTCCCCTTCCTACTCCTCCCTTTCCATTAATTACACTTCCCTTACATTGGTTAGACTCAATTACACCTTTAAGTTATGACTGGGAGTTGGGAATGGAAGGGAAAGGGGGAAAACGTTAGGCTATGTTTGGATCCCAGAAAATGGAAATGCCAAGGAAAGTAAGGAAAATGTTAGGAATGTTTTTTATCTTATGTTTGGTTTTCCCAAATGAAAATGAAATACGATCCATTTATTATAAATGTCTTACATATGTCTTACATATGTTGATATGGTAAGATTTCCAAGTATATTACTTATATCATCATTTTCATCATTTCCAAGTATATTACCAAGTATATTACTTGTATCATAGAAAAAAAATTGAATTTGCACAAAATATTAAATAATTGTATTAAGATTTAACCAATATTTGATTCTCCTCCGCTTTTCTTTTCCTTCCAAATTATTCATATATTTCGTCCATGATTTCATTCCCTAGCGTTATGGACTCCTTAAGGAAAATGATTTTATTAATGTTTGGATATATCTTAGAAAATACAAAATAAATTCAACATTGATTATAACTTTTCAAGATTTTGCACATATGTATATATTACGTATCTTTTTTTATATAATAGACATATAAATAAAATGAGTTTGAATAAATATCTAAAAAGACTAAAACTAATTTGAGTGTTTGGACCAACTTTTTTTAGGGATACCCCTCCCTCCGCTCCTTCAAAAGTTCTTGTCTACCTTCCTCCATTTCCTTTTACAACCATTTTTTCTGAGTTGCAAACATAAACCCTGAGCAGATATCCATTTCCCATTTATCTCCTCAAAACCATAGTGAAAATAAATTGAACTCACAATGAAATAAATGTTTTGAGAGTGTCTCGTGAGGCATAAATTCAGCTACAAGCAACCGATCATCCCCTTCACAACAGAATCCTAACAAGTTAGAAAGCCGCTCGCTCCTCAACTGCCCCACCATTCTTGCTTCATCCTACCAACACATTATATTATTAAATCAACACATATATTAAACACAAATAAATACATTGGCACCAAGATGAAATCAAATGCAGGAGCCTGGAGATCTTACAATAAACTGGCGAGAATCGGGCCAGGCGGACTTGTGAAACCGCTTTACGGCCACCCCTTGGCTGCCATCTTTGAGATATCCTCTGTACACAATGTTGGGAGCCTTTTCTCCATGTTCAGACACAATGTTGTCCACAGAGAAGCCTGAAGTTGCAGCTTTCAGCTCATCTAACCGAAATTCTCTGAAAGCTGGCCATTTCCCCTTCTCGTTCTCTCCACTTTTGTCTTTTTAAAATTAGCAACGATACAAACATGACTCGGGATTTTAAGAAAAAACAAAAAAAGAATGATACTAATCGGAAAAAAATGAATGTGAACTTAATTAGGAGTCTTACCTGTATCCGAGGAATGGGGGGTTCTGGATTTGATTTTTGATGATGGGCCAAAACAAAATTCAATCTTGGAGCAACTAGCTCCCATCGAATCAAGTATGGAGGAGTGGAGGACTACTTCGAGAAAGAAGAAAAAAAGTGTGGGCAGTGTTCTTGATACTCTCTTATGTGCTGAAACCCCTTATTTCTTACTCTATCTTGAGCAAAAGTGATGAAAGTTTGAGGTTTGAACTGCTTGTTCATTCAATTGAAGGGAAGGAGATGATGAGGCTTTTTCCCTAAAGGTTTTGCTTCCTTTTTTGGGAAATGGAAAGGGCAGCTGACTTTGCACGTTTCAACATTCCATCTGCCTGAATTGTAATCTTTAATGCATTTTAAATAAAAGATTTAAGCAAGCATGCTTGGCCTGTAACTTCACCAACTTGCTCTTTCTTTTTAGGGTCTACTCTTCTTTGACATTAGACAACAATATAGTTTTTCTTTCTAAATGTTCCCTGTTTTTGACCAAATATTCCCTAATCCATCCGGTAAGCACGTTCGTGGGACGGTGCTGTATTTTTATTGATTTACGATATATATTTTCACAGGAGCTCTTTCTATCCCGAAGTGATTGTCTTGTGTTTTTAACACAGATTTTAAAAAGTGACGGAAAGATAAAAATTATGGTCGAGATTTGAGTAGAAAAAATAAAATGTTTTGAGCCACATTGTAAAAAGAGAAAATAAGACAATTATTTTGGACATCTCAAAAAGAAAAACAAGACAATTATTTCGGGACGGAGGTAGTATTTATTAATTAAATTCAAAAGACAAAAGTATGTTTTTAAAATTTTCAAAAAAGTGACATATTGAGTGATTAGTTCTTAGTGATTCATCACCTATTAGTGACTTGTCACTGTGAAATACTATCCTCCGTTCCATAAAAGTTGCAACAGTTTGACTTTCACGTTTGCCAATGCGCAACTTTGACTGTAATTATATTTATTTACGTATTAGTAAACATTAAAAAAAAAGTTAATGTATTGGAAATTTACATTAATACAAATTTATTAATATTTTATACATAATGTTTTTATTATATATATTATTAGAAAATCGTAGTCAAAGTAAGGTGTGTGAATAGTGCAGAAATTCCAATGTTGCAACTTTTATGGAACGGAGGAAGTATACTATAACGACTCTTGTCCAGTTACTCGTACACAGCGATTAGTCATATTTTTGTCTAAAAACATAACTAGTCATATTTTTATCTAAGGAAACTTTGTTAGAAATATACACTTCATTTTTCCCTATGAAGAGCCGATTGGAACATTTTGATGTTTTTAATTTTTAATTGGATTGAATTTTTTTGTTTGATCGATCTGATCATATATGACTTACTCATGTCTTGTCGGGATTTGATATGGTTTGTTCAAGTCTGATTTGGACTATTAAAATCAGGTTTGGCATGTTTAATTTAATATGATTTATGCATAATTTACAACTGTCCAAGTTTGATCTGATCTAGTCTTGTACTCTTGTCTGAATTGGTCTGGTTTAAAATGGGTTGGTCCAATATGGTACTGAAATCAATCTAATTGAAAATATCCTTATTAGCTAAATTGATAAATAGTCTTTTGTTATTCAACTAATACTATTTACTTATAATTTTTTCTATTTCTAAATTCTAATCAGCTTCACAAAGATCTTCGCTGAACAATAGAATTGTGATTTGATATATGCAGTTTACTCCTTATGAAATTTCAACATTTTATTTGATTATGGATCTTATTATACTCTCTCCGGTTCTCAAAGATCTTTACACTTTCCATTTTTAGCAGTACCAGAAAGATCTTTACACTTCCTTATTTGCCTTATTTGGCAAATAAATCTACACAAAACAGTGCCAAACAGTGTTAAACAGTGCCAAACAGTGTCAAGCAGTGTTTATTTCCTTAACTGTGAAGTCAAAGTGTCAAGATCTTTTGGAACCGTAGGGAGTATTAATTAAGGAGTGGAACTCCGGTCAAACTCAAGCTCAATTCGAGCCAAGAGTAATAAGCCTATCATATAAAACTAATGTTTTTTTATAAAACTAATGTATGTGTAGAGACAACTAGAGTCCCTTTGACGACTCTATCATCGACTTATTAGGTTTATCAGTCAACCTTCTAATCAAATACGTAACTTTTGATTTCACACGTTGAATTATATAATAATAATAATAAGAAAAAATAAGGTTGAAGTTACTTTTTGTCTGAAGTTACTGCAGGTGACCATTTTAGCTATTTTTTCATTTTTTTTGTTTTATTAATAAAACAAATTTTAAATAGGAGTATAAATGTTATGTTTGGTACTTTATTTGTTAAATATCTTGTGTTATAATGAGAAATGTTCGAATCTCATTTCATTTTGTTAATACAAAATAGAGTTTTTTCCACTTTTACTCCTCCGACTATTATATCATTGACATTTTTGATACTCGACTTTGATTTTTTCCATTTTTAGTTCTTGACCATTGCGCTAGAGACACTTTTGGTACCCGTCTTTGAAAATTTCCATATTTAGTCCTTCAACTTTTATAAAAGTGACATTTTTGTTCCTCCAACTATTATAATAGTGACATTTTTAGTCCTCCACTTATTGTGTTAAAATCATAATGGAAGGACTAAAAGTGTCAATTTGACAATAATCAGGAACTAAATGCGGAAAACCTTGAAGTCGGAGACTAAAAATGTCTCTAGCACAATAGTCGATGACTAAAAATGGAAAAATTAGAAATCGAGTACCAAAAGTCTCATTGACATAATAGTCGAGTGACCAAAAATGACAAAAACTCTACAAAATATATACTCCGTAACAAAAAAAGAGTTTATTTGTTTTTTTTTTACTTCTCCCCTTTCGTCCTTTTTGTTTGGTCAAGTTTAAAAAGTGCCGCACTCCGATTTACCCGGCAGATGAATTAGGTGTAAAAGTCCCCGGGGCCCGGTCCACTCAGCTCCAAAAGTTAGACTACTTTCCTAACCAAAAGTTAGTCCACGGTCGAAGAGTATAGGTTTGTTATTGTATTGTAGAGAACTTTTAAAGATAGTGAAATCAATAAATTTATTTTAAAATCAATTAATTGCTAAATTTATTGAGTTGTACAGAAACTATTGACGCAGTAAAATTGTTTGAATGAGGTATAATTTTCTTTTATTTTTTTGGCAAATACAACTTAATTTTTTAAAAACGTATAAATGTCAATCTTTATGGAACCTCAGTTAAATTTATTATTTGGTGTAACTAAAGAAATCGAAATAAGATTATTTGGTTTAACAAAATTTGGTAAATGTTTTCCGACATTTGCCCCACGGTGGGTGGTTTGCTTTCAGGGTTCAAAAAAAGTTGTACAAAATAATATTAATAGCTCGTTTGATAACACTGGAATTGACTAAATCGGATAATATTTTGTCAGAATTTATGAAATTCTGACTGAAGTGATCGGATGGGCTGATTTTGCTGAATATGAAAAAAAATATTTAATATATATTTTATTAATAAATTAAAGAAAAAATTATATGAAAAATATCCAAAATGGTCATCTACACTAATTTCAGCCAATTCGGGAAAAAAACTAACTTTTACTTTACTTATTTTGATTATTACACAATTCATCACATTAAATCAAAAATCACGTGTTCAGTGGAAAAGTTGACTAATGAAGTTGATAAACCCACAAACGGGGTCACCAATTAGGTTCTAAATATTACCACATTCTTCAAATACGGCCTTAATCTTTTTTATCTATAATCTATCTATTTGGTCACTGGTGATAAAGAATAAAATTAATTACAATAATGTCATGATATGATTGATTTTTTGGTACATTTTAGAGACAGAGAGAGAAACAACCACTACTAAAAAGAGTAGCATGAATCCCTAAACTCCAAATGAGATTGATGCATATATAGATGGTCTACACATCCTGATACTTTTAACCATATAAAATAACTAACAAACTTCACTTCATCATATGGTATGATTCATATATACCCTAGCTTTACTGTAAATGAACTTAATCTTTGGGACAAACTACACTTAAAATTATATTTTGACCTGTATTTATTGAAATTGTATTTTGTCTTCTGTCTTTTCTAAAGAAAAATCCAGCTCAAATTATTTAAAAATAGCTGTTTATCAGTCCATTATATTATGTGATAAAACTGGAGCCTAACAACACAAATTGGGATCAAAGAATGCATGCATTTCCTAATGAATAGTATTATCATCTCCCCCACAGATGATTAGTGTGGGTGTCCCCCCCTTTAAGAAGACAAGGCAACCCATTATCTACAGGCAGAACTAGCTGTTAAACATGAGCAATGCCTTTCCATGTTTTATGTCTCCTCAATAGATATTTATTAGCCAGGACATCCACTGTTAATTCTGTGGTTATGATTAATAACAATGAATACATCTAAGATCCTTTACCCTATGTATCAAGATAGTCAAATATATGATCAAAATGTGGGACTCAATATTTTGTCTTTCCAGTGCCAATAATACAAGTAGCTAGCTCCCAATAGGCAATTCTTGTCCAACATCAACACCAAATGTGACTTAACCCCCTACCCACTTTATATTATGTTTGCTGTACACTTATACTCAGTAACAAAAAGGGTTATCTTTTTGTAATTTGTGCAAAGCTTTTAAATGGATAAAATATGCATTGTCAATGCCGGCGTAATCATGACGGGATATCGGGCCGGACCGGTATAAAGATTTTTACCTAGATATTTTTTACATAATTTTCTTTACACTATTCTAAGCATATATTTCTCAAAATTTGAGTTGGATGAGGATACAGGACCTACCTAGTATAGCCCCTTAGATATGCCCCTATGTGTTATCATATGCACATGCTTATTTTTAAAAGTAGTAAGTGTGGCAATAAAAGTGTGATTTCACACAAACAAATATTTTGTATAAAATTATGAGGTATTTAGAATTGATTATATTTCTGATGCTGTTTCTTTTTTAAAAGCATGAGTATAATCAAAATCTATTTTATAGAAGCTAATCTTCTCGTGGTTCTAAAAATTGCTTCTAAGAGAGAGCACTTCTGTAATTTCACACAAACACTCCAATATAAAAAGTAGATCCAAACACCCTCTATATACTCTCTTTGTGTTTCAAGACTTAGTTATCTTTGACTTTCTTAGCTAAACATATTAAACTTCTGAGCTCAAATAAAAAGATTCAAACGCTAGGAAAAAGTAATTTAATGATTTATTTGTTTATTTGTATTTTTAGATTCTTTTACATGAAAATTTTCAATACATATTATACCATAGTACATGCAAACCTGATCAAGCCATCACCTTATATTTCATTTTCGCTGGTGCCTGTAGCTTGACCCGTTAATAGAGTGTCCAATGTCCATGAGGCTATAACTCCTATAAGTGTTCATCCAATTTCAATCTCTGTCAACCATGGCACACTTGCAGCCTTGCTTACCAAAGGCTCCAAAGCTTGAAATCATGTGTAAGTCTTAATCACATATCATTTTGTAATTGTATCATTTGTAATTGTATCACAGATCATGTGAAGTATAATGTTGTAT